CGATAATGTCTGATAAATTCAGGCTCTCCTTAAACTTAAATATATCAATAGAAATAACAGGGACACAAAATCTCAGCTTATCTAAGACAAAACTTGGAAGTTAAGCTTAACTTTCAGCATGAGCTTAAACCAAACGTTCAGTCTAAGTCTCAGCTTAGGTGTAGGTGGAAGATTGAGTCATCTAGGCTTCAGCTATACGTTGGGCGCAAGTTTTAGCTCAGACTGAAATTGAAGACCAAGATTAATTCTTTGTTAAGGCTTAAGTTAGTGTTTTTTTTCGCTTTTAGTTTTTAAAAAATGTAGATTAAATCTGTTTTACAGATTTTTGCTGAAAAATCTTTTTTAGTTTTTTTGTAAAACATTTTTGATAATTTTTCTGATTTACGTAACACGTATCTGTAAAGCTGAGCAAACCCAAAAAAGAAGTTTTTGGTTTTATTTTTGCCAAAATCTGTGTAGCGGAAAACAAGTATTTTGATTACGCAGATTTTAAATTGAAAGATATAATTTCTCACGATAAAAGGGTACTTACTAATGTTGTGAATGTTAAAAGTTTTACTTTCAAAATTAATTTAAGGGATGAGCTTTTTCTCAATGCAAATTAAACATACAGTTATTGCTGCATTGTTGTTGCTGCCTTTTTTAGACTGTTTTAGCATAGAAAACAAAATAGTTGTATCTTTTTGAAGAACGTTCTTCAAAAATTTGTCATTCTTTTCTTCTTTTTCACATCATTTAAACATTTAGCATAATATGCCTTTTTTCTGTGTTAATGAATTCAGAGTTGCAACTGAAATACTTTAATCTACTAAAATTTTAAAGCAACTAATGGTTTAGTGCTGTAGTTGTTGGTGTTGGTGATCAACCAAAGTGTTTTGGAGCTTATTCAGACGGGCAGTTAAATTGGATACTTAATTTGGCCAACTAAAGTGTTATCACTTGATTTAGGCATCAGCAGATCATTGGATGTATCAGATGGCACAATATGTTTTGTCTGAACTACAGAACAGGTGACGATGGATTACTGATGCATGACTTCTCGTTTCACTTATATTGCGAAAGAAAAAGCAAGAGATTTAATAGGTTCAAAATTGGGCAGATTCTGTAAAATTTTCAGTGATTTGATTAATTACAGTTACAAAATACTGCAAAAAAAAAATTTTTGCTTTTTAATTTGGTTACAGACAGTTATAATTTTAAAGTTCTCCAAAACTAAAATTTTGTTGTTTGAATCTGAAAAAGAAAAAATTATTTGTTTTGGTGGAAAATTTTGTTTAGAAAATTGAAAGCAAAATTTACTTACTAAGCAATTTGTTCGTTGTTTGTCTCGCAGAATAAAAATTGATTTTGGAGTTACAGTTAATACCATCTAATTTGCAGTATTTCTTTCTAATTCTTTTTTTTTTTACTTTTTCTTCTGCAATTTGTGCTTGTCGCCAATTTTATTAGTTAAGTTTTTCGTTTTTTATCTGTAAATATTGAGCGAAAAATGAAAAGCAAACGAAGCAACCGTTATCTGTAAACAAAACTTAATTCTTAAGATCAAAAAAAATGAAAAAAAAGCATAGACAAATTAACAATTAGATAGCAAAAGATATATCTAATGTTTTAAAATTTAGGATATTCTATTGCTTGGTTAAAAAAAAAATCTAATGCTTTTATTTGATATTCTGCAAAGGCATCTCTTCACCATTTGTTTGTTCAAACGTATCCTACAATCAATCGCTCTAAACATTTCTGTACATTTCTGTATCAAAATTTTCTACAAAATTCATTGTAGGTTAGTCAAAAAAAAAAAAAAA